CTCCCTGCCCCTCCTCGGCCCAGAAATGGCTACCAGCCCCATCGGCCTCCCGGGGGAGGTGGGGGCAAGAGGAGAAATAGCTGTAACGTGGGAGGAGGTGGTGGAGGCTTCAAACATCCGGCCTTCAAGAGACGCCGGCGGGTGAATTCGGACTGTGACCCTGTGTTGCCCTCCAACTTCCTCTTGGGGGGCAATATCTTTGATCCCCTGAACCTGAATAGCCTCCTGGACGAGGAAGTGAGTCGTGCACTCAATGCAGAGACCCCTAAGTCATCCCCACTTCCGGCCAAGGGTCGAGATCCAGTGGAGATCCTCATCCCCAAAGATATCACAGACCCGCTCAGTCTCAATACTTGCACTGATGAGGGCCAAGTAGTTCTTGCTTCGCCACTCAAGACTGGTCGCAAGCGGCATAGACACCGGGGACAGCACCACCAACAGCAGCAGGCATCTGGAGGGAACGATAACCACGCTGTGCTGCCCACAGCCCCCCTGACCCCGTCACTCCAAGGGGAGGGTGCCACACAGCAGCAGCAGCAGCAGCAGCGGCACCGGGGCCAGAACCGGGATGCCCCCCAGCCCTATGAACTCAACACAGCCATCAACTGCAGGGATGAGGTCGTGTCTCCCCTTCCATCTGCCCTGCAGGGTCCCTCAGGGTCCCTTTCAGCCCCTTCAGCTGCCTCAGTTACCTCTGCACCCTCGTCTTCCTCCTCCCGACATCGCAAACGACGCAGGACTTCCAGCAAGTCGGAGGCAGGGGCAAGGGGTGGAGGCCAGGGTCCCAAGGAAAAGGGCCGAGGCAATGGGGGAAGCCGCCACCACCCACTACCTGCAGCAGGATTCAAAAAGCAGCAGCGCAAGTTCCAGTATGGGAATTATTGCAAGTACTATGGGTACCGCAATCCTTCCTGTGAGGATGGGCGCCTTCGGGTGTTGAAGCCTGAGTGGTTTCGGGGCCGGGACGTCCTGGATCTGGGCTGCAATGTGGGCCATCTGACCCTGAGCATTGCCTGCAAGTGGGGCCCGTCCCGCATGGTGGGGCTGGATATCGATGCCCGGCTCATCCACTCGGCCCGCCAAAATATCCGACACTACCTGTCTGAGGAGCTGCGCCTCCCACCCCAGACTTCTGAGGGGGACCCCGGGGGAGAGGATGAGGAAGGGACTGCCACTATCCGAAAAAGGAGCTGCTTCCCAGCCTCACTGACAGCCAGCCGGGGTCCCATCGCTGCACCCCAAGTGCCCTTGGATGGAGCAGACACGTCTGTCTTCCCCAACAATGTTGTCTTCGTTACGGTAAGAGTCAAGGCCATTGGAGTAGGAGCCAGGTATGAAGATGAGATTAGGAAAATGGTGGAATTGCTATGACCCAGAGGTATGTCCCTGTATCCACTCCTCCTCAGGAAAACCAGCTCCTCAAGAGAAGAGTCTGGATTTACAGTTGAGAACTTCTGCTGGGTTTCTGTTGCTCCCATAGCCTAGGAATGTGGGGTCTCAGCTTGGGGCTTTAATCCTGGGGTTTTTCTCAGGACTGTAAGGATCTCTTCCCCAAGGGGGTGATTCTTTCATCCCTGTATTCTGGTGGGTGGCTGCTGCCACTCAATTCAGTCCAGACAAAACCTGGCCCTAGAACCTATTGAGAGACCTGAGGGTTTGGGTTGTTAGGGAATGTCGCAGGCTTTAAAGGGATGAGGAGGGGGGAGGAGAGACTAAGGTAATGGCAGACTTAGTGTATGTAGTGTCTGTCCTTTGGTAGGAACCATGTTTGCATCAGCTGTTTTCGTTTCCCTAGATACAGAGTTCATTGAAGAGTCAGTTTTCAGGAACCCAACCCAGCAGTTAGGCTTTAGGTTTTCTTCATGTTGATCCTGGATAGCAGGAGGGGGACAGAAATTCCTGAGTGGAGGAAATGCCTAGCAGGGTGTCTGTCTCTTGATTGTACATAGCTTCCCACAAAACTGTTCTTTTAAGCTATCTGCAGGAATGTCTGCCAGTGTGTTGGGTAAGCCTGAAAAAAGGACTCTCCAGAGGGTAATGGTGAGCTTATCATCTAGAAAAGGTTTCCTGCGGGATGTGACTTTTCATTTCATGTAAAGGAAAAAATATACCTGAAACTTTGCCTATCCCAAGGACCCATGGGTCTCCACTTTACCTGGGCTAGGTCCCCTCGTACAACATTAAGTGACCATCTCATGTCTGTGTGTGGAAACATCCCAGCACTCTGTTATATGAACCCCAGCTGAGAAAATCTCTATCAGTTGCTTAATTTAAAATTACCCAGACTCACTTTTAAATTTGTTTGGTTTACCTCCAGTAGGAAGCAGAGCTATGAAAGTGTAGAGAAAATGAGACTAAAACAGAGCACCTTTGGGACGTTTTCCAGAGTATAAGAGAAAAATGTGACTACCAGGTGAAGTGCAGCTGTAGAAATTTCTCACCTGCAGACCAGTTGTGGGGTCCAGTGGTTTTTTGGGTCCCCTATTGACCTCACCCCATTCTCACCCTTAGGGAAACTATGTGCTGGATCAAGATGAGTTGGTGGAGGCCCAAACAGCCGAGTATGACGTGGTTCTCTGCCTCAGCCTCACCAAGTGGGTACATCTGAACTGGGGAGATGAGGGGCTGAAGCGCATGTTCCGCAGGATCTACAGGCACCTACGCCCTGGGGGCATCCTAGTCCTGGAGCCCCAACCATGGTCATCTTATGGCAAGAGAAAGACTCTCACAGTGAGTTGGATTTCTGTGCAAATGGGAATAATCCTTTGGCTGAGGCAAGAAAAGGCCTCAAGGTAGCAGACTTTCTGAGCAAAGGAAAGGGCATCATTAATGTGTGGGCATCATTAATGCCATGGCTAGGAAGCAGCTAACATGATCCCCCTGCCTTTCTTCTCCCCAGGAAACAATCTACAAGAACTACTATCGAATCCAGCTGAAGCCAGAACAGTTCAGTTCCTACCTGACATCCCCAGAGGTGGGCTTCTCCAGCTATGAGCTTGTGGCCACACCCCACAATACCTCCAAAGGTAAGGCTGGCTCATTTTGTTGAGGGAGGCCGGTGCTGCCTGAGAGGGTGCAAGCCCTGTGGGATCCCAAAGTCCTGCCAACCTATGTCCTGATTTTACTCTTCCCCCTAGGCTTCCAGCGTCCTGTGTACCTGTTCCACAAGGCCCATTCCCCCAGCCACTAAGTGGCCCCCTGAAGAGAAAGTGTGAAGAGGTTGCCCTTGCTGCTCCTAAGAACCTGGGGGAAGAGGAAAGTATCCCAAGGCCTTTCTGACTATAAAAGTTTCCTTTCTTGGATCTGCAAAGAAAGCTTTTAAATTGCTGCTCCAGTCTCCTCACCTACATCTCTGGCATCTGAGCAGCAAGTCCAGCTGTGCTGGAATTATCTTCCGCTCCCCACCAGCCCACTGGGCTGGATGGCATGACTGTTTGCTGATCTGTTCTCCTAGGGTGTGGGAAGTGGCAAGCATCAAATTCTCTAATCCTTTCCTTCTGCTCTCCCAGGGAGATTCCCTTTTCTCCTCAGCCCTTGTCTCTAGCTGCATTTCAGTGGACCACAGAAGAATGGACTGAGGGTTAGAGGGGGAAGCTTGGCAGGGAGGCACACAATACTGTGAAAATCCTTCTGCTGGCCCCCAGTGGGAGAGAGGGCTGGGTTTGGAATGTGAGAGCACAATAAACTTGATGTCTAGGACAGTGGCCCCCATACCTGTCTGCTTTCTAGCTGGGGAAAGGATGGTTCCCTCTCATTAGGACCTGTGCTTCCTGTCAGTTCTCAGGTCTCAAGGAAGAGGGCAAATGTGGTCAAATCTTCATGTTGGCATACAACCCTGATCAGAAAAGGGGAGGTATAATACAATTTTTGATGTGCAACTGGAGTCCAACTTCTTTCAAAATCCTGTTGACTGTTTTGTGGGAGCTTTGGTCCAAAGGCTAATTTGGGGGACTTAACATTGGAGATAAAATGGAACTAGAAAAAGGTGGGAGTCAGAGCTGCTAACCTCTAGAACCCACCATGCATCTTTTTGTGTTGTGGAATCTGTAAGCGATTAGTAGTAACATGAAGCTTTTAAGTGGTTTGTCAGTGGTCACTGGAGCCTTGAACATTCATTCAGATCTTGAGTACTCAGGTCAGGTGTAAACAAGATGGCCCCTAAAGGTAAAGCATGCAGTTAATTACAGTACCTCATTGCAGAGGGCTGTCTTACAGTCTCCTTGAGACAATCGAAAAGCCACCCATATATTGATAAGAGACCCACATAAGAGGGGGGTGCCTCTTTTTCATTTTAAGGGCACAAAATTCTACCTATCTGTGGGAAATGAACTTTTGTGTATGTATATATTTGGGAATGGGCCTTGTGGATGCTAAGCTCACGCATACCACTGAACCTTACCCATCCAGCTTGAGACCCGCAATTTAAATGATCAAAGTGGTTGCGCCTGGTGGCATCAGAGTGGTGGTAGTAATTACTGGAGGATGGAGGTAGGCAAAGGGTTATCTAATTCCTGACTTGGACAGTGTTTTCCATTTGCCATCACTTCCCCAAGCTCCCAAAAAAATGGCCCAAAACTCCACGTCCAGCTTGCAACGAAGTGAACAAACCCCTGGTAGGGTTTAGCCCCTTGCTGGCTCCCATAAGTCCCATCTATTAGCAAAACCATTTTATTCCCAGAAAGTTCACACACACACACAGAACTAGCAATCCAGGGAGCTTTGGGATCTAAGCTTCCCACCGCCTCAGTGTCCTGTGCATGAGGAAGGTGTCCTCCGGGGGACGGGTCCGGGCTTGAAGGCGGAGAGGGGGCAGCCCGTCCAGGGTCAGGTGTGGAGATTCATAGCACAGTGAGTCTGGGTCGCACAGCATGGTTATATCCGGCCCTGGTCCTGGTGGCTCCTGTGGAGATTGGTGTCCAAAGCCAGGTTAGACTGGGAGAAGGAAGTGTCCGCTACCAGGGTGGGCAGGGGAAGTAGGAGGGAGCCCAGCGGCCGTGCCGTCACCTTGGGGAGCGGGGCTCGGGCCTGCGGCGG